AACGGGATACACACCAGCAGCTTGAACCACTTTGTTCAGAGGCATTCTGTCACATTCAGACTGAATGTAAGAACTCAGGTTTAGATGTTGAACTACACTGGAAGAGATTTTGGGATCCTTTTGGTTCCCATTTAATCTGATGTTTGATAAGCTTCCAACCCGTTTAATATTAAACCTGTCTGGTTCAACCCTACAGATCCTCTTCATGGCTTGAACTTAAACCTTGACAGCAGAGGTAACCAAACAAAGAGGCCTAGCATGAACAATCAATTTGGCCAAATGATGATCAGATCATGAGATCAGCATGAATTGTATTGCAGACAAATTCTCTGAAGCTTCTGATGTACGTGAATCCAATAAATTTGATAATCAACTCACGATGTTTCTTATAATTTATGCAGATTTTTGACTGCGATTGTCAAAGTTTGATTTTAATCCACACTCATGATATGATGACTATACATACAGTATATGAGTCTCCCACCCTGCTTTATTTTCACAGTGGGAGCTGCTCAATGCAAACGAAGCTCTCTCTCATCTTCTTTGGCGAGCTAGTGCCTTGCTTAAGAGCACTTCCTTGGTTCTTGTCACTTACCTCTGTATACTTCTAATGACTTTTGTGGTTGAAGGAGAGGAGGCCGTGGATGTTACAGGAATTATAATGTTGTAAATACAAAAGTAAACTGTTAACCTTCTGGGTGGAAAACCTGACTAAACAAAAGTGTTTCTACTTATGGATCCGAGCGCCAATTGGCTAGTAACTAACTTTGAGACTGAAGAAAAGTTAAACGTGATGCTTCTTAGGCTGGTTCTGCATACGGTGAAACAACCAGGAACATTCCTCCTTAATGTGATTCAGCTTAATTTGTTTTTAACTATTTGTTATTTGGTTGAACTTACAGAGCTCAGAATGAAGTTTTCTCACTTTAGCAACATCACTGATCATATTACTGAAGTCCTGTTGTTGATGTGTCAAAATGTGCTGTTAGTTACAGAACTGTTAAAGCTGTGCAAGTATTTCACGTTATTTCGATTTTTTTACAATTCTGTTCCCTAGCTTGTTTCGTTTGCAGCTGAATTGCCGGCGTTGCCCTCTTGTTGCTCACTGCTGTGAAATCTGAGGATTACAAACCAGTTATCGTAATCACTTCCACCTGATCAGAGGGGCATTCTTTCTGTTCTTGTGTCTCCTCGTGACCGCTGTCCTCTTTTGTGTGCTTTCAGCCCTCTTTATCTTTCTCCACAGTGAGCTGTCGTGTCTGTTTTAGTCTTGCTGTGATGCCGATGCTCTGTCCTCCCCCCTCACTACCAAATTAAACCTTTCACAAATATTCACACACCTGAGAGAATAGGTTGAGTAAGCAATGTAAACATACAGCATCACATTCAACATTCAATGAATGTCAGGCTGTTTAAAAGTAAAATGGGGTGAAGAATATCCTGCAGGGACCCACGTCTCCCTCTTTAACTACACTCAGAAGCTCTAATTAAGACGTCCCAGCTGAGACTTACTGACATGTAGGCCTACCGTTATGTTGTACCTGGTTTTCCACATTAGACTTTAAACATCACTAACTGCATTCCTTGATAATGAAGATGCAATCTGTCCTTCCCCTGGTCTTTTCTCTTCTGGGCTGACTAAACTCACTTCCTGCTGCTTTCTCTTGTTTCCTCCACAGATGTACCTTCTCCTTCTAAAGCTCAGCCTCATCCTCTGATGCAATTCCCTACAGGCAAGTTCTCTCTGCTTTCTTGTTTCCCCACCGGTTCCTCCTTTTTTATTATTTTCTTTCACCACTTCTTCAGTTCACTTTCCCTCCCTTATTCAATGAAGTGGCAAAAACAACCCTTTGCATGTAAGAAGCTGTAGGTTTTTGTCACGTATTCTAGCGTTTGCATCGGATGCTTGTGGGTTAATATCTTAAAAACACTAAATTGGATGTTTGACTTTGCTTGTGTTGCATTGTGACTCGCATGTGATTGTTGTAGAGTAGATCGACATGAACTTAACACAAGTAGTATAGTCAGAATAATGATTCTCCTCAGTGATTGACAGAAACAATATTGATTAATTATATTTAACAATATTTTGTGAGAGCTCTTTGAGAGGAATCATTATCTACCATCACTTAATAGTTTGTGTTTGTAAGATGGACTGAGCATGGTTTATTGGCACCAGACCTGGGGACAAACATGTCTTACCACCATGCATCAAACCAGGGTGGTAAATACAGACCACCAGACAAATGCTGCCAACTCCTGACTGTGGAAGTTATACTCTCTGCCAAATGACATTGGAAACCTTTATATTGTAGTCCAAAAAAACATGACTGTTGTTTAAAGACAAATTGGTTTCCTTCCCTACCTGAGGTTCGCTTGATTTAGCTTTTCCAGCACTCAAAAGATAGTTCTATGTTTTTATAGGGTCTTATTTTGTAGGTTTGGCCTTTTACATTTTACTCAAACTTGATTGTTTGGAACTGAAGAAGGGGCAGCATAAGTCAAGTAGGGCAAGCAACAATTGGACATCAAAATTTCAAGGCGAAAATATGTCAGTCATAACCGTCTATTAGATAGTTTCCCACAGTGTCTTACTGTGAAGGTGGGCCACCACCCCTCCTTAAAGAAAACCCTGCCCTATATGAGTGCTGATCATGGTTTCCACTCTTTACTCGTTTGGCCTTTATTTCAAAATTAGAATCCACCGCTTTTATATAACTAACTTCATCCAGGATTAACAGATCAGTCCTCTGAACTATGTTCAAAGAACCAATTTATCTGGATGAGAGTAAACAGGTTAACTTTATCTGGATAACATCCCAAATTAGATGAGCCTCAGTATTGGTTTTAAATCTTCGGTTTCTCTCTGTGACCCCTTTACTGTTGTTTTCTATACTCGTACTGATTTTTAGAACTGGTACCGTCTACCAGCCATAGCCAACCTCTTAGCAGCACTTGTCTGGTCTCGTGTTCCTCAAAATGTTTGTGGTACCAGTTCCACCCAGGTGTGGTGGGCACTGTAAGGAATGGAGTATGTCTTTGATATGTGTTGTATTGCATTCTCCCTCCTCCCTCTCTACTCAAGCACTTGGGCAGAAGGGTGATTCCCCTGCTCCCATCTCTCCTCTCTCCCCTCTTCACTCCCCCGACTCTCTGGAGGAGCTCTCTCTGACCGAGAGTCCCAACCAGCCACCGGCTTTGGGATTTGCCGCATCCTTTGGCTCCTCCTTCTCCACTAAACCCCCCACTACTCATTCCAAGGACATGGCTTGGGTGGGTGAAGAAGGTGGCTCCGGACCGGGCCGTAGTAAGATTAAGGAAGATCCGTTAGCTGGTCCTTACCTGAGTTTAGGGAAAGACCCAGGGCCTCATAATCCGTGTGAAGACAGTGGAGTCTCCTTTTCACCTGAGGAGAAGCTGATTAGCTCAGACAGGTCCTCCACTGGCCCCTCCCCCGTGAACCCCCAGATGAAGGTCCCCGAGTCTCACCTTGCCTCCTCTAACCCAACAGAGCACTGGGATTTACCATTCCTAGCGTCTCAAGACAACTCCAAGGACTCCATGGACACCTTCTCCAAGGACACGGCTCCCTTTAGCTCTTCCAGGTACGAGCCAGACCACGACAACAACTCTGATGAAGACGATGACCTGATGTATGAGGTGAAGAAGAATAACAACCCATTTGAGGGCTTTTCCCCACTGGCGGACAGTGGTTACTCCCACTTTGGAGACTCCAAGTCTGACAACAGGGCCTCAAAAATGTCAGAGAGTCCCACTCCGGATCTGGTTCAGTATGGCCAGACTGGAGAATCCCAAGATGCTCCACCATCTTTCTTAGACGAGGGGAAAACATTTGAGACGGGCAAGATGGCTGCCGACTCGCTCATGCAGTCAGTGGACCAGTTCTCATCTGGTCTGAAAGATGACGACGACGACGATGATGAGGAAGAGGAGGAAGAGGATTCTCCTCTGCCACCGTCGCTTCCAGACATCCTGAAGTCTTCCCCGCTCAACCCCGACAAAATGGACTCCGGCTCCTCAGAGGGAAGTCCGGAGCAGAGTCCCATCCTTGAACGGAGGATGATGGAGTCGCCCAACCCTCCGATCAATCTGTCCGCTAACAACCCGTTTGCCTTTGACGCTAAAGTGTCCCTGCTGAAGGAGATGACTGAGCAGTTGGAAGTGAAAGCGACTGACAAAGTAAAAGTCGAAGACGACACGAGCTTTGGCGCATTCGATCTCGTCAAAGAGGCGGAGGAAACCACCCCCACTATGGTCAAGGAAGAGAAACCAGTCAAGATTGAGCAGAAAGATTGGTTTTCAAGCCACGATTCTCCGAAAGTGAAGGATCAGTTTGAGCCTCTTGTCTTCCAGAGCAAAAAGACCGCTGCTGAGGATTCAGATTCAGAGTCGCCAACAGCGGACTCCCTGTCTCCAGTCCTGGAGGCTATGGCCAAGAACCCCGCCAGCTTCCAGGTGGAAACCGAGAATATGGACCAGAAGATGGAGATGGAGGAGCCAGAGATGGCCGAGGAGGTCTCCGAGCATGAAATCTCCTCTGAGGAGTTTGAGTTCATCGAGCGCCCACCCAGGGGCGTTATCGACGAGTTTCTCGAGGCTCTGGATACTTCCAAGTTTGCCTCCTCCAAGCCCCCAGAGATCCCCATGGATGATGACCTGAGCTTTGGGCAGAAAGACGTGCCTCCATTTTCAGCTCCACCTGTGACCGAAGTAGCCCCACCTCCCAAGGTTGAAGAGGAGGCTCCTAGTCAGAGCTCATACCTCCTCCTCACCCAGGCCTCCCCCCAGAAGAGCAAGGCCGAGCTGGAGAAGCTCGACGTCCAGCAGCCCCCATCCCAAGCGCCGCTCGTCCACTCCCCCGTCTGCAAACCAGACGAGGCGGTTGCTACGAAGAGCGCGGAGGCCGGCAAAGTGTTTAAGATGCCAAACGTGAACATAACAGCAGGTAAAATAAACCAGTCACGGCATGGAAACCATCCCCCCCACCATCACATCCAACCCAGTTATCACTGGCACTTCCATGTTCATCAGCATAATTCTCATCTTCACTCTTTTGTTCTCCTCAGTTATTTTCTCCCAGCCCCACCACCAGCTGCCAGTATTCACTTCAGATCCCTTCACTTCCTCGTTAGTGTCACCTTTTTCCTTTCTTGCATCATCCCCTCTGCATTTTCTTTGATAATTAACCCCTTTGCATCGTTTAATTTGTGTTGTTGCGTGTTCTCATTATGGTTATTTTGCTTTTGCTGCATTTTGTGCATTTCTGTCATTAGATTTATCATAACTTCATCATTTTATTTTTTTCATTTTAAGATATGCTAAGTAAAATGTGATAATATTCATTTTTATTTCTGTTCTGTTGGAAACATGAGCCCATTTTTATCGTATATTTTATGCATGATGAGCAGAAATAAGAAGTCATGTGAAACAGACGTTTATCACCTACGAACACTCGTAAAGGCCTTTCTAATTTCTTCCATTTGGCTGTTGAATATCTTGATTTACGTTTGTCTGGTTTTAGCTTCTCTCTGCTCTGGAATTAACTCGAGATGCCAATCTGAAACCAATACCACCTTTATAGACACCCACACCCACTCACAACTACATACACACCCAGAGCTACCAACCACGCCCTTTACAAGCTCTCTCCACGCCCTGTAAATCGTGATTGCATCACATTTTATGCACCGGAGGCTAAATACTGAATATCAAGCTCTGTGCCAAATACCTGAAGCTGTACTGATTTTAGAATGTGTTGTAAGCACTTTAAATATTTACCTATCAGTAGGTTATTTGACAGATGTGTTTTTCTTTAACTTGGTTTGATATAATAAATGATGGTTTCTGGAAGATCAAGTAGACACTATAGACCAGTCCATTAGATCCCATTCATCTATGACAAAAATACATAAAAACAAGGGTAGAAGTGAGTCATCTGTGAGTTCAGTCCAAAGGAGAGGAAAGGAGTTTCTCTTCTTGAAGTACAAAGTACAGTCAAAACGTGGCGTGTCAGTTACTCAATCAATCAAAAGTGACATATCACAGTAAACTGAATATCTTTTGGTTTTGCAACGTTAATCCGACAAAACAGACATTTGAAGACGTCAGTGAGCTCTTAGAATTTATAATCACCATTTTTACAACAATTCCCTGAAAGTAATTGTCAATTGCAGCTTGACGCAGGAATATGTGGGGTTTTTGGAAGTGTTTTCTCCTCTTTTGTAAACATAATTCATGCATTTGATAACTTTAGTGGTGCCCCCTCCTCTGATATCCATGGCAAGTTTAAAATCGTCCATCGTTGCAAACCGCAGTAGCTGACCTTTGATGTACTCTGAGGTAACTGAGAATAAATCTGTGATGTAATGATGTTTCAGAGGCCGTATGCAGAGCGGTCTTCTTCAGGGCTTTTAGAAAGTGATGAGTGTTCCCCGGGGCTCTGCTGTCTCTCTGAACACAACAAACTGCTTACTCTTCATTTTAATGGATGACTCGGTTGTATTTAAACTGATATTGATCCGTTAATATCCACACACACACTCATATTAATGCCATCCACAGTGGTACAGACTGTAACTAGAGCAGTGGGACGAGCTGGTGACGCTTTAACTGTGTTTTGGAGGGATCGCCTGTTAATTAAAGCCGCCACCGCCTCCTCCTCCTCCTCCTCCGCCTCCTCCCTGCATTGCGACACTGGCAGGCCCACAAAGGATTCTCCGACCCAGAAACCACTCGGCAAATGTTCTTCATTACACAACTGGAGGTGCAGCGCTGCCATCTGAACAAAAATTTCAATTCTCTCAATCGAGTAACTGTCTGTTGACTAGCCTAATTGTTGGTGGTAAAAGGGGCTTTGTTGCTTCTATGTAAATTATGTAGTTTTTACTGTTAATATATTAACAGCAAAACAGTACTTTTACAGTAACTGAAAATTTTGTTTAAATGTCATTGCAACGACCAGCACCTAATATCTGGTTTGCATTTACCACATCTACCTGGCAAAAGTAACTTAGAATGACCAATAATTAGATATTAACATAATCATTAATGTTTCATATAGTAGATTAAGTTTATATGATTGAAAATACATATTTAAAAAGTTACCTCAAACTAATCGTCAAAATGTAACGTATTTAAATGATTAATTTTGTATTAATTTATTAAATGAGCGTTTGTTTTAGCAATACTTCAGACTTGACTCGTGAGTAAAGCAACATGGTGAAGAAATCACAATAAATCAAAGTGTGACGACGCCCTGAAGCTGTCTGTGGTGACTCAAGTGGGTGAAACCTCCAACCATGGAAATGTTAGAAAAACATAATGAAATTCATCAATAATCTAACTGAAGTCTACAGTTTCATGATGGGGGGGGGGGGGGCTCTGGGGTGTGTCGTCAGTGAAGCAGAGCAAAGTGATCCCGGTGAAAGGTCACTTTGTGCTTCTCTTTTTATGTAACCGGCTCTTTCACCACCAACACGTCTCCTCTCATGAGCTGGAGGTCTCACGTTGTTGATGGCAGAGCACCGAGTGATAAGAGAGCCGGGACACGTCGGGGCGGACACTCCGTCCTCAACAGTCTCATTTAACAGGGACAAATCAAGTTACCATCAATCAGAACATTTATTATAATACAATAGAGCTGAGCTTTCATCTCTTGAACTTATCATTCTATCATTGCTTCATGTAATATGTAGACCTGTCCTCTAGTTGTAGTAAATGAAGTTGTATCAAATCAATCTATTTAACTTTTGATAAAGTTAATTCATCAGGTCTTTGCTCCTTTAACTGAAGCCTCACACACACATCTATAGGTCTGTGTTTTGATGAGTAAGGGCCTTTGGAATTAGGCTGTAAGAGAAGGAAGTAGAGGGGTTTATAAAATGAGACCAGCTCCCTCTACTGGAAGAAGTCGGCAACTACAGCCTGGATGATTCAGTCTAACTCCCTGCTTCTGTCCCATAGTCGGATATAAGTCAGATATAAACTGGTAACACACAAAGCCATGCAGGTTGATTTTATCTCCCTGTCCTCAAACCTGCTGTCATTTTTTACTATTATTGCACTTTGCTTTACTGCCTCATGGGAGATGAGGACAAAAATTAAACTCCAAGGATTTAACTTTTTATTGAAACAAAAATGGTTCTAAACAGATTTAACTTAAACTTTCTGAAATTTAAATAGATCAGCTGATTAGTTGACTTTAACGCCGTTTTTATATCCTCTATCTATGGGTTTTGGACTGTTAGTCAATCAAAGCATGACATTTTATGGACATGAATGTAATTACAAGAATAATCAACAATGAAAATAATAATCAATTGCGGCATTAAACATTAGGATTCTAACCAGATATTTAATGCCATTTGAGACTATTGACACTCAGCCCTTGATCAGCCATCCTGTTTGGTAGTGATTGCAGTACTTTCATACCTCTGTGGCAAATATTTAGCGCTTGTTTTTCACTTATAATCTAAAACATGTGCAGGTTTCTGTCAATGCTGCCTGGTTCAATGAATACAACTGAATCAGTTTCACATGGTTTATCTAGTCTGTCATACTGCTTCGTCAGCAGAATGAGGGATGAAGAAGATTTGGGGGGGATTGGAAGGAGACAGAGGGGAAAAGGGAAGATCAGATTGTGGCGAGGAGGGAGGGAAGGGAAAGCATGCTAAAGAGGCTGATCCGTGCGGGAGGAGGGTGAGGCAGAGACGTTTATAGTTGCTGCGTCAGAGCGCTGGCAGCAGACAGTCAGCTGACAGGAGGCAGTTCATTCGCTCGCTGCAGTCATTTCCACAAACGAAGCCTTGCTCCCTCCTTCCTTCCCCTCCTCCTGCAGCCTAACGCACACACATTTACTCGCCCACATTTAGTGCCTCTTGCTCAGCAACTCTGTCTGGAATGTGTGTTTGCTGATCGGACGGCATGGAGAACAACTCTGTGGTCTGCGAGCCTGCAGCCAATCACTGGAGAAAACAGGGTATATATACCTCCACCTTTCTGTCTTTGTGTTGTTGGACAGTGAACACCTCCACCCTCAGCGTGGTGGGAGGTGTTCACTGCTGCAGGGACCTTTAAGGGGGAGAAACGCTGTCCGAGATGGCCTGCTTTTATTGTGTTGCTTCGGCTCTTCTTTCTTGCTGACTGAGGGAAATAGATATTTGACATTGGTACTAAGACGGAGACGAATCGATTGGTGAATCGGAGTCAGATGTTGCAGCACATTTATCTGGAGCTCTTCCACCCTCACTGTTGGGTTCATCGATTCAAACATTGCAGGCTGAGCTTTGGAAACCAGATTTCTTTACTAATGTCTTGCTTCATTCCTCTGTGGGACTACTTTTTCTTGTCAGTGTGATTTGTATCTGATAGCGACTCCTCTTGCTTATCTAGCCGGAGGCTCTGAGTCCTCACAGCTAACATGATTGCAGCAGCTACAGAGGAGACCTTTGGGCGGTCAGCCACTGTGACCAAAGGTGGACAGTAGAGAAGAAGAAGAGGAGGAGGAGGAGGAGGAGGGATTTGTGAGCAGAGTGACAGTTTAATGATCCACTAGTGGGCCTTGAATATGCTAATGAGATGGAGGAGAGCAGGCCTGGGCATTATGTGATAGAAGAACTTAAATGTTCGGTGTGTTTTACAGCTCAGGCTTCATGATGTGTTCCTGCAGTATGAAGGTGGATAATCGGTGACATACAGTCGCAGTATTTTGTGCAGGAACTATGGATTTATGTCATTATCAGTTGTGAGGAATATGTGAGGATTTTGTGGCTTTTCCTCGTCATAAATGATGTAAAATTAATATTTTTGTGTGAAACAAGCAATCGAAACGGCTAAGACTTTGGGCTGTGGGTTATTGTGTGACCATTTCTCACAAGAAAATGAAAACTTTCTTGCCTTATTTGTCCATTATTACAATAAATGAGTTATTAAATAATGAACAAATGCTCATTTACGGTTATAGAACATCTGATTGTTTAGCACCCTGTTGGCCTGTTCTTACCACGGCTCAGAGTTGGATTCATGATGACTTCAATGCTCCATTTAATTTCTAGTCTTAGATTTGCTGCTTTAAAGTAATACTTCACCCACAAAATGATCATTTGTGTATCTGTACTCACTCAGTGTTACCTCGGTTTCTTGAGGAAATCTCGCACGCCTCCGAGGTGACCGGAGGAAAGTCTTGATGAATAAAAGTTAATGAAGACGACGTTTAAAACCAGCAAACTACATTAAAAAAAAGTCTAATTTATCCAGTCGTACACTCACTACTTACTTCCCAATCACGTGCATCTTCACTAAAACCTAACTATTTAAAACACTTCTGCATAAACGGTCTCCCACATGCACACTAGTCTGTGCAAGTCCAGACGAGTCTGAAGGGTTTTAAATAGTAAAATAAATATTAATATAGTTCAGGCATCCTTTGATGGAGTTGTTCCTGTAGTCTTTTCTCAAGTGTGATGCTTTGCATCAGGAGTTATCTTCTCCTGCTCCTACTTTAACTAGATGGCAGTAAAATCTTATTACCCTATTTATTTGAATAACACTTATAGTTCATAATAAAATGGAAAGGGATCCCTCTGCATATAGACACTGTTGTTATCGCATGCAGAGTCCTGCTGTCTGCTGATCTTCATGTGTCCTGCCGTCAGTGCATCATGGTGCTGCTGTCGCTTCTCATCCCAACACTGGAGCC